AATATGCTGAAGTCATTTGAAGTATATAAATTGTTAACTCACTATGATTATCAATAAAGAATTATGTTGCAAATGAACAATCATAACATGTATACCATACATCAAGTATATCATGTATTTAGAGAAATAAACAAATAAAAGAGAGAAATTACTAATAAAGTGAAAGTTAAATCGATACTACCTCACCATACAATATGATGGAGCATGCACTTTCATTTCACTCGGGACTCTCGAAATAAAGTTGAATCAAATGCAAAGTATATCACAAAGATTTTAGAACAACACGATCTTACCACTTTTCACTTTGACAAAGTATCAAAAAATATAACTTGTGATGAGTCCAAGAAGGTTATTAATTTGATGATCATTCATTTTGATTGAACTCTCACCATTTATTATTTCCATATTAGTTATATTTCTCATCCTCATATTTCACCAATTCGGGTTGATCAATACCTTCTTCGGTGTCATTGAATATGTTTCTTGAAGATAAACCTACATCGTGAAATGAAATATATTTTCCGAGTATTCTCGGATAGAACATCAAAAGTAACTTACACCTCTTTTACCAATAAAACAAAACTTGTTGTTTCTTTCTAGATCACATAATCCATCATCTTGCCCCATATTCAATAGAATTAGAATATGTTTATATGCCTTGATTCACCATAAATGAGAACCCATATTCTCTTCATAGAGTCAAGACAATGTTCCTATAAAACAACAAGACAAGCTAGGTGCTCAATATTCATTGATTACTTGAGGGTTAGTGAAACAATTGGTTGCATTTGGGCAATACAATCATAATGACAATTTAAATCTTCACCATCACTAAAATCACTATCATATTACGTACTCGCAATTTGAGGACCTTGAACTTGACGTCCTAAGAGCTTTAGACTTTGTTCTTTCCTCTGTATCCGTGTCTTTCTCCTTTTTATTCTTCTTCTCAAGCATTTTCTCATGCTTGTCTAAGCAGTTAAGTTCTTGCTCATGTTCTTCAAACTTATCAAACAATGTAGTGTTATAAAGTGTTGTAAGATCATTAGCTTTCTTGATCGCAGTGACCTTCAGTTGCTAATTCCTAATAAGGCATCTCAAAACTTTCTTAGTAGCGATAGCTTTGGAAATAGGTATACCAAGTGCGTTCAAACAATTAATGAGATTTAATGAATTTTTCTTATCATCATTATTCTATAATGCTTCCAACTTATATGTGACAGCGATATTAGCATTGTTTTGAGTAATAGCGTCACACATATCCTTGTCATATAAATTAACATAAATGTGCATACAAGCTTTCTAATAAATATAGTTTTCTTCTGGAAACAAATTGGGGTTGTTTTGTAAATTCCTTTAGGTTCGTACGCAACTTTCTAATAAGAGTTTCGAAGCACGGAAATAACTGGAGCACTGACACCACTTGTTAGACTACGACACCAGATCTAGAGGGGGTGGGAAGATCCCCAAATAAAAATTACCTTTCAAAATTATTATTTAAAACTTATTTGAATAACAATGTTGAGAGGAAGGATTTTGGCCTAGATCAGCATAGTAGTCTAAACGAACCTAGTTATTGAAAACTTAGATATGCACGAGTCATATGGAATTAATCATAATGGTAAAATAAATCAACATAATAATATCTCAATTAACTATTTTATTTTCAACACAATGGTTTCCTATTTCCAATGAAATCATATTAAAAACATAATATGACAATTTGTCGAACTTGTGACACGCAATCAATTTTTCAGAATTTTCTTTGAGATTTTTTTATATGCAAAAGCACTTACAATCAAAGTGATTATAAGCTAATCAAAAAGGAAATTTAAACTTTAAAAATCAAAGAGAAATTATATATGAATCAATCGATCAAACAACACATTCAACACATTGCATATAGAGAGTAAATGAAAGTAAGAGATAGAACATAGCAACTTTCCTTTGAGTTAAACAAGGTAAACAATTTGTCAAACACTTGGCGTGCAATCAAAGTTTCATAATTTTACTTTGTGTTGTGTTGTAATAAAAAATAACTTATAATCCAAAGTGATTATAAGCAACTCCATACACCATTCAAAACAAAAATAGTTTTAGAAAATTCCTACGTGTTAATAAATTACTCAATGTTATTTGACAAATCAATGTATGAAGATTAAAGCAAGTAAAGACATAAAAGATAAGAGACACAATGAGTTGTTTAGGAAGTTCACCAATCATCCTCGCTTTGGCTACATCTCCCCCCTAATTCAAAATTTGGAATTCGGATAATTCATACTTTGCAAAAGTATGGTTACAAGAGAAGTGTTCAAGAGCAATTCTACAAACCCTAACCGTTTGATTTTGATTCAACCCCTTATCTTATTTTGATATTCAACAACACCAAGACCAATAGATGCAACCTATTCACCGCTTAAGTTACTTACTTGAAAAGATTTCAAACACTTCAAGGTTCTTTGCAAAGATTTCAAACACTCTAAGGGATTTTCACTCGAGAAAATCTGATTGCACACTATCAACACAAGATCACCAATTCTATCATCCAATTCTTGCTACTTCCTTAAAATGATTTTAAATACTCTAAGGTTCTATGAAAAGATTTCAAACACTCCAAGGGATTTTTCACATGGACGATTTCTTCTCGCACGATCTTGCACGAAAACCCTTAACTCAACAAATGATTTTGGAGGACAAACCCAAAGATTTTTCCGGATGAAGACTCCTACAAGAACTCAACCCAAACTAATTAAAAATATACAATTCTTCGTCTATATGGAACCCCGACAGAACATCATCACAATGTAATGTTAGTGTGTATGCATAGATTGGAAGGTTGAAGATGAAGAGAAAAGGTAGGCTAGTTTTATGGTACCATCAAGTTAGAAATGATGCATGAATGAGTATTTATAGTTTGGAAAATTTTAGGGCAAGAAGGACAAATTCAGAATAAATACAAATTCATATGTATTTAACAACAGTTAAAAAAAGTTAAAATCACGCAGGTTGAGGCGTTGTTATGTAAAGTATTGTTGTAAATGTGTTACCTACAATCACGGTCTTGGGACCGTTGTAGTATACTGGAAAGCGCACGCGATATCACAATTGTTAGTTATCTCAAGCATTGTGATAGACCTATAGATCCCAGGTTTGATTCTCAACATCGACATTTAAGAACATAAATTACAATTCATCACGGTTACTATAGATAATTGTTGTGGAAAGTACCTAGAGTTTATTATATTATACGTAGATAATAAACTAACAATCTACATAAATGAATGTATTTTTATTAAAAGATTAGTGAAACAAACAATCTATATAGAATATAATAAACTAAACTTCATCTACTATCAACCTGTATAAGAATTTAAAGAACAAAACATTGCTAAGTCATAAGAAGTCTCTTTCTTGTGACTTAGCAATGTTTTGTTCTTATTTTGAGAATATTTGTCAACAACAACAACATACAACAACACAACAAATACATGCAACAAAATTATTTAAAAATATATATATATTTTAGCAACAAAACACTAACAGCATGTAATATCACAAGATATATTAAATTGTTTCAAGAACGCACATTTTATTGAAAATAATTTTGAAACTATAACAAAATATGAAGTTTATCTAGTTTGTGTGCTATGAAAAATAAATTCAAGGTGGGTGAAGTTTCCACAATAACTTCATACTTCTTGTATTTTTTTTCATAGCAACACAAACCATATCAACTCATACTATACGCTTGCTACCACCATCATCACCGTGTATGATCCCCTTAACCATCCAACACCATAATCTACAAGGAAACACAACAAACTTCAACCATGAGCATCATCAAATACAACCAACAACCATAACATCACATTGCTACACATCCACATACATACATGGTCAAACAAATTTCAAAACAAATTCATCAATTTGCAAAATAAACTCACAAAAACAAATTCAATCAAAATATATTCTCACACGCTTCAACTTTTCACATGTACAAACAATCTCAATAAAGCAACCTACTGACTCATTGCAATGGATCTACCATTTTCTTACTATTACGCTCCTAAAGTTGAAATTGAACCCTAAAACCATAATCCTAACTTATTAGCATCAACAACATCCATATGAAAAGTAAAAAGAAGAGAGCAACTGAAGAGTAAAGAGAGATCGAAAGAGAGAGCAAGAGAACATATTATCTTCTTCGTTGTTGGAGTTTGCGCCAAACATTGCTCCGATCAGATATCCCTTAAGTTTCCTTTAAGAGTTTTTTGTTTAGGGGTAGTGGTCAACGGAGAAAACTGATGCACATAAGTTGATGATATGTTAGGGTTTTCTTTAGAAAGAAACGACTGTTATGAACTGGGCGACATATACTTTCGTTTATATAAAAAATCACTTTTCATGACAGTTGACAAGGCGAACCATGATGATATATTATTTTAAATAAAAAATAAAACATATTACAACGGTTTAACAAAACAACCGTACTGATATCCCTTTTATTTTTTATTTAAAAATAAATAAAAAAGAAAATATGCGCCTTAACGTTAAAGGAATAAAATATTTGAGAACACTGAGCTTCGAACCCTTGAAAACTTGATTGTATCACCATTTGTGAGTGTATCAACCGTTATTATATCCTAACAATTTTATTTATAAAAAAAAAGATGTTAATGCCTTAGTTTAGAGATGTCACCACAATTTTTAGAAGAACCGTAGTAACTTGAGGATTGTTGTATGTATGTTTTATAGTATTAGATATTAAAATATATAATCATAAATTCAGACTAAACATATAATTTCAGAACCAGTCTAGCTTAATAATATTTGTAATACTTAATATACAATCTTATTCTTAGTAATACAATTATTCCTTAATAATAATATTATTATTATCATACCAATTATGCATTGATATACTTATTTAAGTATTTGTAATATATAATATATAATCTTATTCGCCTTAAACATAATTTCATGACTTGTTTACATCCCAATTAGTTTTTGGTAGGAATCTCAGAGATCACCATAGACGTTTTGTACATGACTTCAAATGCTTTCTCCATGCAAAACTTCAATTTATATTCATCTATAAATCCCTTTAAAGTTTTCATGGTCATCCTTACTATTTTCACGTAGCTCATTATTGCAATGTTTACATCCTACAATCACAAAGATAAAGATAAAGCGTGTTAGAAATATATTTGATATACTTTTTATTTATTTTATAATTCAACAAACACATTTACGAAAATTATTTCTATCTCTCTCTTTTTGCATGTTATCTCCAATTATATTTACCTCAGGTCCACATGTCGAGGTGAAATACAGTCCATTTACAGGATGATTTGCCAAAGCCATCTTTTCTACTGGCCCAACCATGTTTGAGATAAGAACACTCGAGTTTCCAATGGTGTTATAGATTTCTTTAGCTACCGCCTGAAACACAAATCCATTAATAATCAAAGAGGCTCCAAAAACAAATCCAAAAGTAAATGCAAAAAAAAAAAATATTAATAACACCTCAGGGCCTATTAGTTTCATCTCCAAATCAATGAGTAAACCTATGAGATGAACACCGAAAGAACGTTTCTTTTTCTTTAATACATCACTGGCTTCCCAAACAAACTCAAGAGGGTTGGAAATTTCTGATTGGTTTGGCTTAGGTATTGGTATTTGTAAGAAAGAGATTTTATTCCCCCAAAGACCTTTGGATTCTGGTTTTTGCATTTCCTTTAATGACTGATAACCTTTAATATTTCTTGTGTTCAGCATTACCAATGCTGTTGAATTTGATGTTTTTGTCCTCTCATTCATCTCTTCCATGTAAAGCCTAAGTCCGTAGAAGATCATCCCACACACCACATCGTTTAGTGTCTGCGCCATGCAAAAATAAATCAAGATCAATCCAACTATTTTATTTAATAACAATAAAAAAATATAAATTTACAAAACTAGATTCTAGCTTTATTGATCTGTATACTAAGGTAATAATCTTACCACTCCAAGTTTTGATTTGATTTCTTTGATTTCATCAAGTGAAAATGATATGTCTGACAAGATAAAATGCTGAGAAACAATTCCTTCATATCCTGACCTAATAGGTGTTATGTCATCTGCAATGATTCTTGCCTTGATTATGCTTGATCCAAAATCTGACATGGAGCTAAAAAACGAGTTTACACCGAAATATAGCTTCTTAAGTAAGCTTTTATCTGAATCCAATTGTGGTCGTGAAGGAAAAGTGAGAGGAAGAGAAGGATCATCGGCTCTTTGAAGACAAGAAAGAAGAGCACCCATGAGAGAGTAACCATCACCAAGTGAGTGATGAAGTTTGAATATTATGGTGCTAACAGCATTTGTTGTTGGATAATTTATAATATGAATTTCCCAAAGTGGTTTCTCTTGTGGTGTTATTTCAGTTAAAATACTACTTACGTAGTCCTTATGATAATTGTCATATAGTTCAATTGATGATGAGTTTGTGGTTTCAGGAAATTTTGGAATCTTTAAATGCTCTTCAAGCTTCACTTCAACTTTTTGCCATCTCATCTCACCATCTTCGTGTCTTACCTGTTGCAAATTTATAATTAATGAAATTTGGTATGTAAATTTTGAAGTATTTGTAGAAATTAATTAAGTATGGAAAAGATATAGAACCATAATAGAGGAGAAACGTGGGTTGATAGGGATGAAAACATCTTTGATCAAAGGTATAGCTAGTGAGACATCAAAAGGAATAGCTAATTCCAGAAAGCTAAAAATATATGAACATATCACTGAGTTATTGAAATATTGTCCATGAGGACTCACTGGTTCTTCAACCTCTTCATAGAATTGATCCATAATGTTGTGGTGTGGTGTGAGTATGTTCTATTACACATAAGCACACACTCTCTCACACACACATTATATATATATATATATATATATATATATATATATATATATATATATATATATATATATATATATATATATATATATATATATATATATATATATATATATATATATATATATATATATATATATATATATATATATATATATATATATATATATATAAAATAAGTATTTTTTTAAATTAATTATTAGATTGAAAAATATTATCATATTGATCATATTTAAATTTTTTAGATCAATCTATAAGTATATCCTATGTTATCAAACTACATCAAAATTAACATTATTTAGGATGTAAATCTTTACTTGGTGACATATGAAATGATCATATATAGATTAATATAATTGAGAATCAATTCAATTGCTTAAGAGCATGGAAAAGATTACATCCAAATAATTGCTTAAGAGTTGTAGAAGCTGCGTCAGAGGAAAACTTTCGATGTGATAGAGCAGAGAGATGTACACGCAAGGTTAACACTCCGACGCTGAAGTTAGTATGTGAATGATGAGAGAGTATTATTGTGTTTGAAACTTGTTACATGAAATGGAGTTATTATGTAAATATAGGGGAGAAATAATTGTCTCTCTATCTTTTCGACGCAAAATACGGAGGACTGTTGGATGCGTTGGAGGAACATATCTACTTTTTTGGATCTCTGATGGTTCAGTGGTCAGGAGAAAATTCTAGAAGCTTAGTGAATATCTAACATGAATACATGACTTCTTGTAACACCCCGATTTTATTAGAATTATTTTATTTAAAATAATTAGACGATGTGAAGTATTTATATATGTTGGTGAATCTTGTGATGTGTTGTTGTGCATTTGTTAGAAAATTAGATGCCTTAGAAATTATTGGAGTTAAGATAACGGGGTATTTGACCCAAAAGTGTAGAAACATAAGGGTGTGAAGAGAGGAATAATTTACTAGTATTATTTGATTTATAATATTAGATTTATTACTATAGTATAATAATTAAATAATTATTATAATTAGAAAGGGAAAAGTTGGAATATGGATTTAGGGGTCCAAAGAGTTAAGTGGTCATAAGAGGAAGAATTAGAATTGGAGAACGTAGAACAGAGTCAGAACGATCGTAGAAGAGAGAAGAAGAGCAAGAGCATTGGGAGACTAAAGTAACGGATTTCATCGTAGAGGTTTGGAATCATCAATCCAAGATAAGGATGGGGTTCCGATTCTCTAATAGGTGGTATAATCGTGGGTAGATAATGATATTTAATGTTAGGTTTTGGGGTAAATTATTGTGAAATTGATTGTTGAATTTGATTGTGAATGATGAAAATGGTGTGATGTTTGTGTTAGAATTGTTGGTTATGATGTGTGTTGATTACTACATGATTTTATATGTTTTAGTATGTTTAGTAAAGTTATTTTGAGTGAAAAAGGGTAAAATTTCGTAGCAGGAAAAATAGCAGATTTTTCACTCTGCACAGTGTACTCGGGTACTGCATATGGGGTAATCGAGTACCCTGTGTAATTTTGGAGAAACTGGGCAATTTATGAAGGTGTAACCGGGTACTGCATATAGGGTAACCGGTTACTGAACTGGACAGTAGCTTGTATTTTTGAATTTTTGAGGTGTAACCGGTACCCCATATGCAGTAACTGATTACCATTGTGACAACATTTTTGAAAAACTTGAAAAATTCATAACATTCGCCTCGTGTGTCTGTTTGACGCACAAATTGGACCGTTGGAAAGCTAATACAATATACTTTATTGTAAAAATAGTTTCGAGTTCTGGATCTAGATTTAATTGGTGTATAAATATGTTTTATGGTGTCAGTGTCTGTTGCTGTAGGTTGTCGGCGTTGGTAAATTTTGTAAAACTTCAAAATTTCATTATTTGAGTTTCAGGTATCTAATTGACACGTAGTTAGGATTGTTGGAACACTGGTTTAACGTACTTTCTCTTAAAAATATTTTCAGTACCAAAATTCCAACTATTTGATATGTGAACGGGTGTTTCGTACTGTCGAGTTATGTCATTTTGTGAAGTGTATGCAAATGTTTTGTATTGTATTGTAGATTAATTGGGAATGTCCTATTTTAATGATGAACTTATTATTGTTGTGATATTAATCATGAGGATTTTGGTGTTGATGTGATGTGATATTTTTTATCTTGTGATGATTATTTTGGTGAAGGTTTATGCCTTGTATGTTAATGTTGTATGAAGTGTAATGCATATTGTTGTGATTGAACGTGATGATGTTGTACAAATGATGTATGAATGAATTACATGTTATAGTGCATTATCATGATGTTGTTGGCCTATATTTGCAAATTGTTGAAGGCTTATGCCTTGTGGTTGCATAATTATGTTGTTGCATGTTGATGTTGCATATATTGCATCGTTGAGGGCTTATGCCCTGCTGTTGGCCTGGATTGACAAAATGTTGAAGGTTTATGCATTGGTCTGTATTGGAAAAATGTTAAAGGCTTATGCCTTGGCTTTTATTGGCAAAATATTGAAAGCTTATGCCTTGGCCTGTATTGGAAAAATGTTGAGGGCTTATGCCCTAGCCTTATATGGCAATTTTAGAGAGGACTTATACCCTGATGGTATCACATGTATCTTGCATCACTATCAGTCGCATTGCATTTGTTGAATTTTTGATGTAACAATGAAGTTGGGTTGCATAATTGATATGTGTTGTAAGATGGACGATGATAATTATGTGTGTGCTTGTATAATTACTAATGAATCATAATTGATAATCGTTGAACTTGAAATCTGACAGGATATATCTGTTGTATACTCATGATTATATAACTTATTATATTGTTGTGTTATCTCACCTCTTCTATTTGAATATTACCTCTACGTGAGTAACTTACAGGTAATCCGCAGTAGACGAGGTTATCCGTCATTTAGTTTTGAGTCGGCACTGTGCTCTGATATGTAACACTGGGGGATGAACGCTTGCTTGTTTTGCTTAGTTGTTTTTATTTGAAGCATAGTGGGAGTATTATAGACTCTCTTTATTTGATTTAAAATGTGTTTTTATGGTAAGTTGAAGATGTTGAAAACAATTATGATTTTATTTTCGTTACATTAATAAAGTTTATGTTTAAAGACCATGATAAAATTTTTGTCGGCTCATCCAAAGTGTGTTATGTATATGTTTAATAATACTTGATCAAGTTTTAATATGTTGAAAGATGTGACATCCTATTTTTAGTGTTCGATTTAGAAATTTATTTACTCTAATTTTTATTTAAATTACCGATGGGGAAATAGGGTGTTACATGTCTCATCTCAAGGTGTCCAGATCCACGGAGGCATGGTCGGACTGAGGTAGATATGACCGGCCCATAACAGTTTCTCCCTAAGTCTTCATGTTTCAGAATAAGCGCAGGGGCTTGAAGGATACTGATTATCGATTACCGGCCACACCTTTCTTCACTTCTACTATTTCGTAACTCCATGTGTCTTTTTTCAACAGTGATTATGATATTTCTATAGACTCGAAATACTCAAGTATTACAGTGATAGAAGTGGTTGTTGATAAGACACCTTTCGTTTCATATGCTCAGATCATAAATGTAGGAAGAACTAGGTTGACTTCTCTTCCATGTCTTTCTTTCTCCCCGTTCTTGAATGGTTACTTCTTTTTCTTCTCTAAAACATTTCTTTCTTATTCTTGATCTTGTCAACATGATATGAAAAAAATATCTAAGACCTTGAAAAGGAATTTGGTGAATTCATCATCTTCGCGGGAAGGTTCCATATATTCTTCGACTATCTCACTCTTCATAAGAGAGGGAAACTTAAATGGAGTCTTTTCTGACATGGGGGAACCTTCTCTTTGAGGGCTCACTGTCCCTGGTGATGTTGACATAATTTATAGTGAGTATGGCAATTGTACCATTCCTCTATATGAGTATCTCTTTTTGACTTTAGGGGTTTCTTTACCCTTTACCGCTTTTGAAGTGAGTGTTTTCAACTACTTGATGGTAGCCCCTATCTCAATTTCATCGCACCAATTGGGCATATGTAAAGGCTTTTCAATATTGGTGTGAGTATATGAAGGGGAAACCTTTTTTTGTTTTATTCTTTCACCTCTTCCACTGCAACCAAAGTACTTTAACTTGTCCAATGGAGCATAAGTTGGTACTTTTAGTACCGATGATATGGGTTTTTGAAGTTTTTCTGAGCCATTTTATTTTGCAGACTGATTCTTTTTGGTTACCCCTCTTTATCCTCGGGCTCATGCAACTATATGTGAGGTTGAATCAGGGATGGAAGGTAAATGTAAACCATTGTTTCCTCATTGTCGATCAGTAAAGTACTTGTTTTGAAGAAGGGATCCCATGTTTATGGAAAAAGTGAGTTTATCATCGAGGATTCTTTTCAAAAGAAGCAGTTGATGAACTTTGTAAACTTCTTGGGTTATGTCAGGGACATAACCCCCTCATATGAGGTCGATAGGAAGCATATGAAACTTTTGATAGATGTCTCCCAATTGATGGGGTCTCGTTCTCGCGAAATTCGTCAGATCACCTTTGGTAAGCTTGGAATCTCTTTATTCTTCATTGTTGATTTATCTTCTTTGTGCTTGCCTCGGAATGACAATAGTATTTATGTGTAGATGTAATGGAGGATGAATGTAAACCATTATTTCCTCATTATCAATCAGTAAAGTACTTGTTTTGGAGAAATGATCCTATGTTTATGGAAAAAGTGAGTTTATCATCGAGGATTCTTTTCAAAAGAAGAAGTTGACGAACTTTGTAAACTTATTGGGTTATGTGAGGGACATAACCCCCTCATACGAGGTCGATAGGAAGCATATGAAACGTTTGATAGATGTCTCCCTATTGATGGGGTCTCGTTCTCATGAAATTCGTCAGATCACCTTTGGTAAGCTTGGAATTCTCTTTATTATTCATTGTTGATTTATCTTCTTTGTGC